AGCACCACGCACGAGAAGCTCTAAAAGCTTCTGCGTGAAGTCGGTGACTTGTTGTTTAGCAGTTCGCTGCACTCTCGCTTAAGCGAGAGGCAACTGGTGGTACGACTGCTTAAGTCGAAGGTAAGACGGTCTAACCGCTTCCTCGCTTGTGCATAAGGTGTGTGCTAGTAGTCACGTGATGCGTCAGCACCGTGCCTACGCGCCCCATTACTCTGACGATGTATTCGTGCATAGTAGGGCGGAGGAAGGCCTGAGCGCAATAGAGTCGCACAAGCGCCATTTGGACGCTGTGTTGCAGACTCTAGATGAAGCCCACTTATACGTTAATTTGCAAAAGTGCGTAGTAGGGGTCTCCGAGATACCTGTTCTGGGCTGCATCTTAGGTACACATGGTGTACGAGCAGACCCAGAAACGGTAAAGGCTGTCAACGAATGGCCAGTCCCACGACACGTGAAGGATCTGCGCCAATTCCTTGGGCTCGCTAATTACGTGCATAAGTATGCGGAGCAGACTTAGCCATTGTCTGATCTTTGAAAAAGGATACATAATGGACTTGGTCAAAGGAACAAGAAGATGCGTTCACACCAGTGAAGCAATCTCTTGTAGAGGCACCGGATTTGGCATTGCCAGACGCGGATAAGCTCTTTAGCGTCGTCTGCGATGCAAGCAATTTTGCAATCGGCAGCGCGCTCATACAGAAGGATGACAACGGTGTTGATTGTGTTATTTCTTATCAGTCTCGGCTTTTAAAAGCTGCCGAGCTGAATTACCCTGTGCATGACAAGGAGCTACTTTCAATAAAGTATGCCCTTGTGAAGTTTCGGGTGCACCTCTTGGGCAACGAACCTTTTGTGGTTTATACGGATCACGCATCACTGCGGACCGCTATATTCACCGCACCTCTCGCCGAGAATGGCGAGATGGCTACCATTCTTATCTGAATTTATTTTAAAGTTGAATATAAGCCGGGTAAATCGAATATCTTGGCTGACGAGTTATCGCGCAGACCAGACTTCAGGCAAGACGCCAGGAAAGTGTGTCTCGTGCGAAAGAAAAAGTTGAGTCGTCAACACTGGCAGTTATGAAGGCATACCATGTGAAGAGCTCAATGACCTCCGATATCAAGGAGTGTTACAGTCAGGACGAAAATTGTCGCCTGCTGTTGGATCATTTTGGTAGAAGAAAGGTTACCCTTCCGTCGCACCTAAAAGCGATGCTGAGTCGCTTTAGCTACAGTGATGGCCTGTTATGGCATCAACTGTCACCCTGTGATACCTTGAGAATCTATGTCCCTCATGACACCAATCTCAAGCTGATGATACTTCACGAGTGCCATGATGCGCCATCTAGTGGACATCTGGGCCGTGAAAAGACATTCTTACGAGTGGCAGAGGAATTTTGGTGGCCACACCTATATCGGTGGGTGGCCAACTATATTCGCTCTTGCGAAGAGTGTCAGCGCATAAAGCCTGCACCTTCGAACAGTGCGCCACTGAAGCCACTGACGATTCCAACGGATTGTTGGAAGTCGGTCAGTTTGGACTTCATGTTTGACTTACCGCCTGACCATAAAGGCAGGACGGGGATCGTCGTCTTTGTAGACAGACTGAGCAAGATGGTGCATTTGGCACCATGTAGCACCGAGATCTCAGGAAAAGAGGCTGCCCTCTTGTTTCTGGATCACGTGTACCGACTACACGGGATTGCCGAGTCAATAGTATCGGACCGGGATCGGCGTTTTACGTCATGTTCGACATGTGTATGAGCTGCTGGGTAGCAAGCTCCACATGTCCACCGCTGATCATCCCCAGACCGATGGCCAAACAGAACGGGCCAATAGAGTCGTGGCGGATGTGTTGCGTACAATAGCGACTCCCAAAGAATGGAGCAAGCAATTGCCATTGGTAAAGTTCGCTATTAATAAAAGTGTTCACGCCAGTACGGGTGAAACACCGTTTTACATTAATGGACTGCGTCATCCTCGAACGCCAGTCTCGTTTGTACGCAGCCCGAGTCTTTGTGAAGGAGGGACCCTCACTTCGCTTGGTGCGAATGACAAAGAGGGACAAGGTTTCCCTAGTGACACTGCTAGTTTAGCAGTGGTCACGACACCTATAGGTGTCACTGAGGAGGCACGGCAAGAAATGCCAGTGCTCCTTGACGATGACACTATAGTGTTATCAACAGCGTCGACCCATGAACGACCTCTTGGAGGCGTCATCGGCGAGATGGATGCTAAAAGCGTGAGCGAAGCTCAGCGCTTTGTGGATGAGCAATCAGCCACCACACGTTAAGTCCTTGACGTGATGGCAAGCGCACAGGACAAGCAAAAACAATATGCAGACCAGCATGGTCGCAAAAACAAGGAACACTTAAGTGTGGGGGACAAAGTGCTATTAAGTACTGCTACCCTACCTAAACATGCAATTCCTGTACTACCTGGTGGTACTACTAAGCTATTGCCCCGATTCATTGGGCCCTTTACAGTGGTTGAAGAAGTTGGAGATCTAAATTATAGACTCACTCTCCCACCGTATATGAAGACGCACCCCGTATTTTACGTGGGTCGTCTGAAACGGTATGTTGATCTAGAAGAGATCATATTTCCACATCGGTCTAACGATACCGATGGTGACGTCGTCTGTGAGTCGAGCGTCGCGAGCGATCAGGCGATGAGGAAGCCGAGAGGATCCCCATATACGAACGAGGCGATAGAGGACTCGGAGATCGAGGAGGAATCCGCGCTTGACGCGGGTCTCTCATCACCAGTCGCTCTAAGATGTCCAAATCGGTCTTCAGGCGGTCATACCCCTGACGATCCCTCGCCCTCACATCGCGCAGATCCGAGTTCAGTCGCGAGACTTGAATCTCGAGATCTGCCACCTGCCTCTTCAGCGCAGCGGACTCAGTCTGCGACTGAACAGCAGCAGGGTAGGCAGCCGCGAGTAGGTGGGCGTAATCGCCACTCCTATCGGGCGCCACCTGTGTTGGTGGACACGGAAGGGAATACGCGCTTCCTTGTTGGAAGGCTGTTGTCCCACCGGTTTGTGAAGCGAAAGCTTCAGATCCTTGTCCAGTGGAAGGGTCACCCAACGAGCTTTGACTCGTGGGAGCATGTGGACGCTTTGCGCGTTGACGTGCCTGGGCTGGTGGCTGCTTATGTGAAGCAGCACCAGCTGTCTTCTTTCTGCTAGGTCCGGAAGGACTAGCAGAAGAAGCGTGGCGAGAATTAATTGGGGGTCGCTTACCACACAAGAATTCATGCGCACGCTTCATGGCGAAGCTGATTCGCTGCTACCGTTGTTTAGTTGCATCTACATGCAAGGTAACACGGCACCGAAGATCAGCTTCATATTCGTCGGCTGTATCGTTAGAACGCAGCACGACTGGAATTGGGAAAGCACGACCAATTGCTGTGCTTTGCTCTTTCCACACGGGAAAGACGCTATAAAACTTGTGAGCGTCAATATTTGCACGCTGTAAAAGGGCTGCACTAGACCCATCCGAGTTCATCCACTCATATGGAGGTCGCATTGGTGGAAAGCCACCACTCACGTAGCCGCCCTCGTGACGGCGGGCTAGTGAGGCCGACGGTGTACTTGGTGGAGCTTTGAGCTCACACTCACCTGAGTCTGACTCTCCAGTATAGATTGCCAAGACATCAGCTTGAGGAGCCACATCTGACTGAGTCGCGACTACTCCTTTCGAAGTAGCGTGCTCAGTCTTAGTCGCTGCGCTCGTAGGCGCAGGCGACGAGGTTTTACCTTCGCTTGTAGGAAGCATAGATGCTCCCTCAAGGACGAGTGCCTTAAATGATGGGGACATGTGTCCCATCAATGCGCTTTGCTCATCGCCACTATGGGGTGATGGCAGTGGCGTCCTCTCATTGTAGTCTACAATAAGAGATGGATCTTCATCCACATTATCGTGAGATGGAAGATTCACCTCAGTGCCTGAAGCACTTTGCGACGGCTACGATAAAACGTGGCGCGTGCGCTTAGTGCTGGACTGCATGGGTGCCTTTGCAGGCGACCCATCAGCCTTACAACGTTTCGGTGCCATGAGTACTGAGCAGATTAAAGCGGCGCGTTTATAACGGCTCGCAAGTCACTATGTCTCCTAGGCGATGTTTTACAAAATGTAAAAAATCGTTCTAAAACGGGGGATGGTGTAACAGGGCATCTCGTTACACGCAAACATTGAGTAATATACATAATGTTTGGTCTAAAAGTATCCATGATTACTTTTGACCTGTCACTTGGATGCGATACACAAATGTGATCCACCCTCGTGAATGTGATATCCATTGATGGATTCACATGGGAAGGGATGACGATAGTTGAAGCTAGGCATCACGACGTCTCAGAAGGACGTCAGTTGCGATCTTAAATCTAGATTTAATTTCATGCGACAGGATACGCTTCTAAAGAGTCGCGTATCCGACCTATATACATATATAGCCAATCAGTAGTTAAGTATATATTTAGTTATAATTAATTAAATATAGCTCAGTCTTGAATTTGCTAACACCGAAGCACCACGCACGAGAAGCTCTAAAAGCTTCTGCGTGAAGTCGGTGACTTGTTGTTTAGCAGTTCGCTGCACTCTCGCTTAAGTGAGAGGCAACTGGTGGTACGACTGCTTAAGCAGTCGACCAACCTCCTAACCACCCTCGCACGCGAAGGTAAGACGGTCTAACCGCTTCCTCGCTTGTGCATAAGGTGTGTGCTAGTAGCACGAGGCAACTTTATAGAAGTGCCCGTCTACAGACGACATCTTTCTAATTTTAATAGTGCAAAATACCATTCTGGTTAATTAAAAAATTGGACAAATTTGGGAGTGTGGGCTAAAAGTGTGGGATATCTAACGCTTTCCTTTACAAAGTACTAAAAACATATATTACGAAACCATTTAGTATATTTATTTCCTGCACATAAACTTCCAATTACAAATCTAGACGCAAGAATAACGAATAAAAGCCACAAAAACACTTGTAGAAATGGCAGACTCAGACCATTTGTCCAGTGAAGAGCTCGACGCCCCTGGGACTATAAACGAGTATGGTCTTGAAGATTTAGCTCGTCTGCCTCTTCTCGAGCAAGTACATCGGTTGTACCATGCCATTCAACACAAATATCCCTATAAAGAGGTGCGCATGACCATCAGAACCTTATATGTATATATAAAATTTATATCAACTCCTTATCTATTGTTATTTTACTGCAGACTAATGCATGGAAGGCTCTTCCATTGGACCAAAAAATGAAAATGCTGAATTATATTCGTGACAAGCGGCAACGCAAGCTGCAAACCAATGCAGAATCCAAACCAGAGACTAGAAGAGAAGATGACGTGAAAGCTGAAGAAAAGGAGCCTTTACTGGACCCAACCTTGGCCGTCACGTCGGATCCGTATCTTAAAATGCTGCAGCAACGAAGCTTACGTTCAGCAGGTTCAGTGGTGACTAAAGGAGACGAAACGGCTGCTTTACCGAGACACCCGAACAGTGCATACGTTGCACCGACAGAGGTGCCTTACTATGCACAAAGGAAACCCAAGCATAAACCGCGGTGGCAGGTTGCTGAAGGCGAGTTTTTTGAGGAACTTTGCGCATGTGGATTGAAGCACGATACTGGAAAAGTAGGAAAAAAATCGTCGTTGATGCTGCACACTATTAGCTCCATGATGAGCACCTTTGGTGACAGCACAAAATCCTGTGTGGCTACTGTGGAAGAAGTGCAGGCTCTTGGTGAGATAGCTATCTTAGTTTCTAGTGTGTTATGCGGTGATCAAGGATTAACGTGTTGTCGTCAATATGGTAATTAGTTGGCGATCACATGCGGAGGGTGTTAGGCACAGTAGATTCGGAAGTGATTGCAGCCTCATCTTGTCTGAGAGTAGGCTATGCTTGGATGTATCGTTTGCGTACGGTATTGCTAACATGTACTGTTGTAGACACTTGTTGAAATTTTCGACGATGAGGCCATTTATTATGGACGTTGGCGGGAATTTCGTGGTGAGACAAAGCACGCGGAAAATGAACTAGAGGATGTCGAGGAAGAGGAGCTGGCGGAAGAGCTAGATCTTTTTGCTGTATCCGAGACTGACGACGTATTCAAAGAAGCGTTTCTGGTACAGTGTCTTAGTCAACAATCAAGCAAAAGTGCTCTAGTGCTGATCTAGTTCGATTTTGATACTTGGTTCCATCCAGGAACGAATACGCTTTGCTGACGAGCGTACGAAAAGGATGGACTGGTCTATATACGACATGTTTGCAAGAGGTCGCAAACTTAATTTCATGAACAACAAGGCGCAGCAGTTTCGTCAATGGTTGGGTCTAGGAAAGATCTCACGCGCATCACTCGAGTTTCTCAATTTTGTCGCTTACCATAAGTACGCTCGCCTTAGTAGGCTCCTGTGCTGATGTGGCTCAACTAACTCTTTGCATGTTCGTGTTGATATAGTATTGGCCGATTAGTGGAGTTGGCAATCAAAAATCGAACAGGCGGAGAGCTACGACAACTGGAGACTCCCTTGTTGAAGGATGACATCGAGCAAGTCTTGTCATACTATTTATTGCCTTCCTACATGTACATTTGACTAAGTGTCATACTTCGTTCGGTATCATCAGGTCTGTGGCACTCTCGTTCCTCCCAGCCCAGCGTCTACCTCAACTCATCGACCGAACACTCCCCGTAGCTGCTAAAACACGACGGGTTGGCATTAGTGCTGCCAACAGTAAGAGCGTCCGCGTGGGACCGAAGCCAAGGATATCTTCAGAGGCGACACCATCCTTATTAACAACAGACGAATCAAAAGCGGAAGCAATAGGGACGAGCAAGCCGACCATCGCTTCTTCAAGAGTCAGGGCCAGACCCACGAGACTCAAAAGGCTGCGGTAGTTTTTCGCAGTGACAAGCAAGACGAAATCATGGTGCAGCGTGGAATGTAGCGGCTATGAACTGTGCATCCCTTATCAGATCATTGCAATGACATTTAGCGTGATTATCTACTTGTATAACAAATCGGCATGAAGGGTGTTCTGTCCAGGCTGTGGTAATGTCTCGCTGCTACAATTGGAGCTTCCATTTTTCAACCCAGATGACAGAGCCCGGCTGATCTCGGACACGCGTCGCGGCCATTTCATGGGGTTGATATGGTCAGTACCTAGTGTTGTTCTACTCCGACCGTTAATAGTTCACCGTGGCCCCGTTCATGCGAACCGAACTGGCCTCAAGAGAGGCAAATGCTTGGCAGCGAAAAGTAGTAATGGATCCTACTGCATGCAAGGGCAGCTCGCAGTACAAGCCCACTCATTATATGCGGTGCGCACGTCCAGCATGAGGTCACAGCTGAATCCATACTTCATGTCCTCTTATCGTGGATACCTGGTGTAGCATCTAGTCATATCGTGGATACCTGGTGTAGCATTTAGTCGCGTCGTTACCGCGCTTCTTGCGGTATCGCATCAAATTAGGATGCATCTAGTGCACGTTTCACTGACCACGATGCTCACCCACGAGGTTACCAATCACCCGAACGACAATGCTGGTGAACATCGTTTATCTTGACGCAACAGGATTAAATGTAACGGGTTATCAGGTGGAGGATCTTTGCAACAACATGCAACTCATTGCGTCAGCTGTGAGTTGATACCGTACGTTTCCTGTTGTTGCAAAGACTTTCTACTTGTTGATTCACTGACTTGTACAGCTGGTAAGAGCTCTATGACCGGGAAGAGCGTCCGCGGGCTCAAAAACTACAAGTCTATTACCGCCTGCACTGTGTGATCCATAGTCATTGGTGGTATCTGTAACACCCTCATGGACCCATCAAACGGTGTTGGCCTTGTATGCGCCAGTGGGCAAGCAATTTTGACAAGGACACGTGGAAGATTTGGTTGAGGGCTAAACATCAATTTATGTTAATGGCTTTTTGCCTTCCAAACGTCAAGCACTTCAACAAACGCTCATGTTCAAATCGAGTTTCAGTGCAGCAGATACGTGACAACCATTAATTGACTAAAATTGTTGTGTATTGACTGATTTCGTGGTCTGATTTCGCTGCTGATAGCACACTATTATCGTATCGTAGCTAACTCCAAGCAAATTAAACTTTAACAGTGTGAAGCACGTGTCCAGATTAAAAAAAATCGTCTGAAGCCCGTCAACTTTGAACACATTGTTACACTTTGCGCAGTAGCTACTGTAATAATACGCATCGGAGAGTAGGTTATCACATGACGCGAAATCACTTACTTCGTATCGTTTTTTTGGACGAGAAATACAATGTAAGTCGACATGCTTCGAACCTCGAAGTATTTCGACTTACTATAAGTCACAACCGCTTTTTACCTTCTTCCATAGATCAATTGTTTTGACGAGAGAAACCCTGTCGCCTACCTGAATCGTGGCCGACGTTGCCACCAGCATCGACCGCGTTGATCCCACTGCTTCAGTCTCCTGTTTGGAGAGTGCGTTATATCGTGTTAAGTCTGCGGCGTGTTTCCGCTGCTGACTTGTTCTTGTGTGCAAACCGCCGACGTCCACCTCTTGATGGTACTGTGATCCATTCGGCTACGGTTGGGGTGGTGCGTTCGTCGGGACGGAAGTTGTAACTCTAGTGCAATTGTTGACAGTGGGTCTATGCGTAAAGACGCCTCTGCTGGGTCGGAGTCGGCACGTCCTCCGACGTTGGCTGAGGTTCAAGCCCTCTTTTCAAAACCTCCGTCTTCTCTTGAGAAATGTTCCACCTGGTGGTCGCCGCCGCCTTTATTTGAAGTTGGTGGATGTGCGCGGTATCCAAACGCCGATCGAAGAAGAAAAGAGGAAGCGAAATTGCGATTGCCGTTATGGTTGTTTTTATATTTAGAGTATGTAAACTACCACGAGCTGGGATGCTCTGAGTGACGGTCAAGATGTTACGGGACTGTCAGGGGAAGCTTATGTGAAAGAAGATGGTGTTATCACTAGGAAGGTGAAGAAGATCCAAATGAATAATCCGGAAGGAGTGTGGGACTCTGGACAGATGATGAATGCAGTGCAGGTAGTCCTCGATGGAGGAGAGTTGGAAGTTGATGACCTTAGATGTAACAGGGCATCTAGTTACACGTAAACATTAAGGAATATACTTAATGTTTGGTCTAAAAGTATCCATGATTACTTTTGACCTGTCACTTGGGTGCGATACACAAATGTGATCCACCCTCGTGAATGTGATATCCATTGATGGATTCACATGAGAAGGGATGACGCTAGTTGAAGCTAGGCATCGCGACGTCTCAGAAGAACGTCAGTTGCGATCTTAAATCTAGATTTAATTTCATGCGACAGGATACGCTTCTAAAGAGTCGCGTATCCGATCTATATATATATATATATATATATGCCAATCAGTAGTTAAATATATATTTAGTTATAATTAATTAAATATAGCTCAGTCTTGAAGTTACTTAAACAAACGCACCACGCACGAGAAGTTGAAAGACTTCTGCGTGACGTCGGTGCTTTAGTGTTAAGAAGTTCGTTGCACTCTCGCTTAAGCGAGAGGCAACTGGTGGTACGACTGCGTAAGCAGTCGACCAACCTCCTAACCACCCTCGTACGCGAAGGTAAGACGGTCTAACCGCTTCCTCGCTTGTGCATAAGGTGTGTGCTCGTAGTACGAGGCGACTTCGTAGAAGTGCCCGTCTACACTTGGTAGCACTAGTAGTCCTTCCCACGGCCCGTCTCTCTGAGCGTGCGTGTGGTTAAGATGGTCCTTAACATGGACTGGAGTGACTTCCCTCACCTCTCCCAACATCATAGGAAGTTGGCAGAGCATATGGCGCAGGGACTTGGTGAAGAAGCCCTGGTCAATCTCTTGCATTGTCCTCCTGAGCAACATGTTGCTCAGTTGGAACAATTTGAGGCGTTTGTGCTCGGACAGCGTAGAAACGCGTCCGAGTTAAACAGCTAAGCCACGGATGAGTCCATCAATAAGACTCAGGATGAGCTTAGGCTTGAGCAGGCACGGAGTGAGGCGCTCAACAGAACTGTTAAGACACTCTCTGCCCGGCCTGCTCAACCGAGGCCCATTCGGATGGACCCTCCGAAGTTCGATGGAACTAGCCCTCACACGATTGTTCACTGGCTATTAGCAGTGGAGCAATGTGGAGTGGCGCAGCTCATCGAAGACGACACCAGAATGGTGTCGTATGCCATGTCCAACTTGCGTGGCAAAGCGTCAGAGTGGGCATACTCTACGCTGATGGCTAATGCTGATGCATTTCCATCATGGGCGATCTTTAAGGCAAAGATTCGCGCCATGTATCAGCCGCCTAACAACGAAGTGTTGCTATGGCGCGCTTCTTTGGAGCACGACAAGCTAAACGCAATCTGCAAGAAGTTGTGCAGGAGATGCGTTCGCTGTATGTGTCCATTAATGGGGAACCGATACCAGAGCGTATCAAGGTAGCCACGTTCATGAATGGACTTAGGCATGGCCCATCGCGTCAGGCCCTTTTCAGAAAGGTGCCAGCGACGATGGAGGAGGCAATTGACATTGCCTTAGTTGAGGAGCAATCCTACAACAGCGCCTCGGCGACAGCCTATTACAGGCCGTCGGCTGAGAAGTCTGATGCCACTCTAATGGAGTTAGGCAATGCAGATGTAGTCTGCTACAAGTGCGGCAAGCGAGGCCATATGATGGCTCGCTGCTATGCCAAACTTGCTGCTGGTGCTTAGGCAGCCAGCAAGAAGGCTCCCTAACCGAAGGGAGGTGCGAAAAACCAGCGTGCACGACGCAAGGGTTCAGCACCTGCCCAAGATGGTTCGGGAAATGCGGGAGCGCAGTAGGGGCGGGATACCCTACTGTCGTGGACTCTGAAGATACCCCTAAGTTCAGAGTGATCGAACAAATGGGTAGCATAGTCCCTGAGGTTCCGAAAGGTCGGACCTCAATCCTTTTGGTCTATAGCGCTCGAGTACGAGGCTATCCGCTGTCCTGTACCAGTGGACTTTAGAGATTGTGAAATGCAAGAAAGGCGAAGACCAGGTGCTGGGGGCGTTGACAGCCAGTATTACGCCTCGAAAAAATGTAGACTCAATGCTGTCGTCAATTGCTCCTAAGAAGCAAGCCAGGAAGACGATCGACCAACCAACACCCACAGTGGAACCGAACGAAGAACTTTATGTGATGAGTTTCGATGGGTCGGCCCGGGTGAAGCAAGGGGGAGGCGCCTGTAGCGCTATTGTGTGGAGATTCCTGCATGGGCTATAGTCGAAGCGGCGTCGAGATATCTCGACAAGTCTACAGTGAATGAGGCGGAATATGAGGGAATGTTACTGGGTTTTGACATGTTGAAGTCAATGGAGCGATGGCGGTTGATTATTTGTGGAGACTCCAATTTGGTTGCAAGACAGATGCGTGGCGATATTGAGTGCAAGGCTTAATGTTTATCTCCGTTACGGGCCAAGGCGTTGGGTAAGCTCCATTCGTGGCCCGCCCACGCAGTCTTACATGTGAAGCGAGACTGGAATCAGAGCGCAGACCAGGTGGCCAGTGCGGCTTTACATCAGTAGCAAGGGGCCGAATTCATACCGAAAGGGGAGTGGCCAGGTCTAGAAGCAATCAATCGGCTGCCAGAGGTGTTGGTTTCTAAAGACCGGGGTCAGTCGGTCAAGGTATCCGCGGTGACGAGGTCACGGTTCCCCGTCAGAATATTTGTAAAGGGCATGCAAGAAGACGTGGTACAACAACTCCGGATAGACAGGATACGAGATGCGCAAGAAGAGGAGAGCTGGGTACGCGAGTTGAAGGAATATTGAATGGGGACTGGAAGGACTTGTCAGTGGAATCGGCCCGAACTTGCAGCAAAATGTCGGGAGACTACGAGATAGTGAAGAAGTACTGCTAGTGTACT